AGGTCCCGGAGTTCGTCCACGACCACGACGACGAGCTCGAGCGCCGCCCGCTGATGGACTACGGGCTCGAGAGCGACCACCACCGCACGTACGAGGCCCCGACGATGGACACCGCCTCCTCCATGTACTCGCTGCGGTGCATCTCGTAGCTGGGGATTTGTTCCGGGGGCTTTTTTGTGAAAATTTTCCCTTTTTTTTTCCCTTTGTTTCGCAGTTTTAGGGGGTGCTGCTTTTGTTTTTTTATATTTTGTTTTATTTTATTGGTGGTAGAGCTGTGGATAATTAGGGGTGTATATGTCAAAAGTACAGGAAGAAGGCGTTTGCGACGGGATTAATGGATATGATGGTTTTCTCAAATACGCTCAGATTTAACTTAATCCCGCAGCAACTTTCTAAATCACGCTAACTACCCCCACTGACTTCTATGTTTTGCAGACAACCCCCCATAAATTAGAACTGGTAATTTAAAAACAGCTAGCATAAAAAGCATTTTAGAAAGTTGTCGAGGGTCGGCAAAAAGATATTGGGGATTTTCCCCAAAAGTCGTCAGGGGTTTAGCTCGATTTCGAAAGTTAATCAGGGTTAATCCGTTAGATACTGTTAAGTATTGCGAAATGGTTTTGATCTTTTCAGCAATCATTAAGTGAATCTGATTGAGGGAACAAGATTCAAATCTTCTTGGAGTAGCTTTTTAGTTAGTAACAAACTCTCGGTTAGCTACCTTTTTCCTTATCATTGTTTTCTGTTTATTTCATTAGAGATTTTTTTTCCCCACAAGATATTCTATAATATTTGGATACATAAAGAGTGTTATTCTTTAGGCCCTTGTTAGGTAAAAAGGTTAAGTGAGAGGTTAACTCTTTCTTAGTCTTCCAGACACAAAAAGTTGCACAGGGTTACTGAATTAATCCTTTTGGCCCTGTTTGGCAAAGGTTTAAGGACTTAGAGATTAAGAAATGGTTAACATAGTTAGTTTATTTAATAATCCGAATGATTAAATTATTAGCCCGTTAAGTAAGATATAATTTAATCCGTGTGATCATTTTTAGTGTTTGGAAATTAATAAATATTTTAACTAATTTCTTTATAAATAGAGGGATTATTTTTTAATCCTCCTAAACAGGAGTAGTAAACCCCTCACTTGGAAGGATTAACTCATTTTAACCCATTAAGAAGGATTAACTCACTTAGAAGGATTAACTCATTTTAACCCATTGAGAAGGTTAACTCTTGTTTATTTTTTGTGTTTGGCAAATTATGGAGGGCTAACCTATTTAATCATTGCATAGATTTTTTTTTTTTGTTTTTTGTTTGGGAGGTTAAGGAAGGATTACATCTCCTTTACCCTTCACTTAACCCTTTGTCAAACAACACGCTATAATTTGTGAAAAAAAGGTTTATAAACCCTTCTAGAGAGGTTAAAATGAGTTAATGAGAGGTTTATAAACCCTTTTAGAGAGGTTAAAATGAGTTAATGAGAGGTTTACAAATCCACCTACTTAGACGGATTAAGAAATAACACATCTGTTTATAAAGAAAGCGATCATAATCCTTTTTATTCACAAACATAAACAATGAACAACAAATTAAATAAACTAACCTAACGGATTAAAAATTTTAACCCTTTAGATTAACAAATAGACTTCCTATGTTAATCGCCTTCTTCTTAATCCTCCATTCTTAACCCTTTGCAATTTTCTTAACGGGAATAAAAGTAGATTGAATAATATAAAGTTGTGCTAATATTCAGGCGGACACCTTTTTTCCTTTTTGGGGGAACTAATCTTTTCTTTTAAAATAATCTTAAAGATGGAAGAAGTAACAATAATAAGTGTTATGGTATTCTCATTCGCCAAAATACAACTCGCCAAACAACGGGCGAGTGTGTATTTCCGCAAGCAAGGCCCTAACCGGCTTGGTGGCCCAAGCCTAACGGAAGTCCCAACTTGGCCGAATCGTCAAGTCAATACTCTTCATGACGACTCAAAAGTCGAGATCAGCCGACCCTCTTGTCGAAGTCGACTCGCCTAGAGCCCACTCGATCTTTTATTTAGTGCCCTACGAGGAAGACTCGATGGACGTTACTTCTTGGCAAAACTAGATGATAATATCTGCCTCCGGCTTCTCCCTCTGGCCACGTGTCATTACCACGATCAACACTGGATAGGTCCCATCATGACCTTAGCCCTGATAGTCTTCATGAATTGTCATATCACATGGGCTCTACCACGTTGTCGATCACTCTCCATTCGATGCTGAGACGATCTCTCCAATGCTGAAGTGATCTTTCTCTCAACCACCTACCGACATCTGTAAAGTGGGTGCTGATGCACCCACCAGCTCATACTTCGCCATTACTTTTCAGTACTCGGCTAAAGTGTCCAATCTACCATTCTCCCATAGTGTAAATACATGTATTATTCGGTTCCAAAAAAGAGGAGGAGAACTCTTAAGTTCTGCTTCTTCTTCCACTCAAGTTTACCATCTAACTTGATCGTCGAAAGTACAACGGGGGAACCGATCCCCGTCCTCTCACGAGTCTTTACATGTGCAGATTTCTCAGTTCCCCAATTCAAAAACCAGACATAAAGCTGGAGAAGAAGACAGTCCCCTCATCAATCTCTTTTACTTCATCGATATTATCCTACCTGGATACATATTGACTGTGTGATCACTAGTACGTCAACAATAAGTACCTTTTTTTTACAGGAAACTGAAGAGGACATTCTTAAGAAATAAAAAAAAATGCATACTCAGGGGCTTCCTACTCTTTTAAACGATGCAGAATTTGACATTTGAATCTTAAAAAAAATCTATTAGGAAAATTTGTGAAGTGATCACAAATATCTCAGGAAATGAATTAGTAGTCCATGTATTATTTGATTGATAAATATTATATGTTTTAATTGTATTGCAGTTTCTAATTTATTTTTTTGTGATCATTTAAAAAATTTGAAAGCACAAATCCTCAACAATTTCCATCATATTATCTTCAAATGGAAATATCTTTCAACAAACCTAACGGACATGATAATATTCTGATAAAACAAATTATAAAATGTTACAATTATTGAATTGATTCTCCATCTGACGCAATACAGGATCTGATTCAAAGTAGCCCGAGGTATCTCCTTGATAATAAATATAAAATCATAATACTTAATGAAGATAGTGACTTATCATGCATATAAACTAGAATAAACATGAGCCGTAGTGTCTCGATGTCGTCGCGCTAACATGTCGTTGATGTGATACATATCTAAACTTTAGTAATGATCCGACTATGATGATGACCTGAATTTAATAGTCTAAATGTATGTCACTAAGCAGCAACCGGCCAACTAAAAATACACTTCAGCCATATTATCCTTACTACTCTAATAACATAGATGCCATTAGTTGCAAAATTACAACGCTTAACGGCCTATACTATTATCACCAAAAAAAAAGAAAAAAAAGCCTAAACGACTGTTCATTTTCTCTTGTAATGTACTAAAATAAAATAGGGTATAGATAGAGTGTGCATACAAAGTGAAGACTAAATTATTGGATTTGCCCCAATAAACAAAGGGAATTATTGGATTTGCCCCAATAAACAA